ATTATCTACAGTTTACAAAAAAGAAAAGAAAAAAGAAAAATAAATAAAAGTTTAAATCCTTGAACAACAATTTATACATGTGCATATTTCTCCAGCAAATTAAACTTTATCATTCTCTTAAACATTGATCTGGCATTTTTAATGTCATCTTCCAGATTATTCCATAATTTAATTCCCTGGACTGAAGTATTCCGTTCCTTTAAACTGTTTCTGACTTTAGGTCTAACAAACATCTTTATCCCCTTGAGATTATAACAACTCTCTCTTTTAACCAAGTGTAAATGGATGTTTGAAGGCAATGTGTTTTTATAAGCCCATACAGAACTGATAAAATACCATAATCAACCAAAACACAGAATTTCAATAACTTTAACTGATGGAAAAATGTATTTGATGGGTGACAATAATGGTTTCTGGCGATGATTCTTATGGCTCTTTTCTGTAAAATAAAAATAGAATTTTTGATTGTTTTACATGTTTTTCCCCAAACATCAATACAGTAGATCAAGAGTGGAACAATTATTGCATTATATAATACAAACAGAGCTTTATCCTTAAATAAATCCTTTACGTTGTATAATACTGCAATAGATTTGGCTATTTTTGTTCATAAATGATTTATATGAGGTCTCCATGTCAGCTTCTCGTCAACGAGGACACCCCAAAACTTCACCTCACTGACTCTACAGATCTCAATCCCATCAACTCTAAATGGAACATCAACATTTTTCTTTCTGTTACTGAATATTGTATAATTTGTCTTATCTAAATTTAATGATAATTTATTGAGTTGAAGCCAAGTTTATATTCTAACAAATTATATCTCATCACCACCAAAATTTGTTCTACATCCTTACCAAAACAAAAGAATGTTGTTTTGTCTGCAAATAAAACACATTTGAACAACCCTGACACATTTACCAAATCTTTTTCAAAATAAATAAATAGCTTTTGCCCAAKTACAGAACCCTGAGGCACACCGCATGTGATATTACTTAATTCAGATCTTACATTTTTAGTGTGTATATTCAGAGTGCTCCCGTATTACTGACATTACGGTAAAACACGAACCCACCGCCTTGTTCCGGGAAGGGGAAGAGTTTTTAGTGTTCTTACATATTAGAAGGTAAAGTGACTGAACAGGAAAACACAATCTGGCCGAGGTCCGACAGCTGCTCCACTGGTTCGAGGCTGACGGCAGGTATCAGTGAAACACACATTTTTTCATGTTTAAAGAAAAAACAAGTTTTTTCCCCTCCTGTTTAGAACAAACAATATTGTAGTCGTGCTGCGCAAACAGGAAAGCTCATTTCACTGGAAACGAGAAGTGAAGGCAGTAACGCTCTCTGTGTTGTCCTGCTCGTGTAAGGCTGTGTTTGTGTGTGATATGTATAAATTCTGTTTAATTCTCTTTTAAAGTCTGTTATAAGAAGACGAAAATGCACAAATGACTGGACCTCACCCCAAGCCTGGTCAAATAATGATCAAAGGTGTGTATTTATTATTACTTTGCCTCCACTAGCAGGTCTTCATTCTTTCTTTTATTGTTGAAGTCGGTTTATTTTAGATGACTATGATTCTCTTATTTGTTTTCAGATCTAGTGATTGTGCGCCATCCTGTCTCTGTGTGTGTACCTGTGAACCATAAGGTGACTCTGTGTGTCCGAGCTGAGGGGAAAGGCATCCTGAACTACCAGTGGTTCTTTGAGAAGGAGAAGGAAAACTATGTGGAAGTGTGTAGATTCCAATATACAGTCAATTGTGTTTAAACCTGTCTTTGTTTTGTTGCTTTCCATATTTCGAAAAGTGATGCATTTTCTTTCTTTTCTTCCCCAAAGGTTCCTGGGGGTAATCAACCAGACTTGACTTTAAAAGCTGTAAAAACTCAGTGCTTTGTCTGCCGAGTGAACGACCACTCTAACAACTGCGCCTTCAGCGAGTGGGTGAAGGTGAAGGTGTTGGACACTGATAAATCAGGTAAACTGCACTGTAACATCTATCTATCTATCTATCTATCTATCGATCGATCGATCGATCGTGGCGGCTCTTCTGACAATAAATGCATTTTATTGCTGTTTTTTTAAATTATCTTTCGTTTTATTCAGATTTGCCGGTGGACTGGCAAGGCGAGCCGCACATCACCGTCAACCCCAAACCGCAAACAGTTCAACCAGGTGGGAAACTTACTCTCCGATGTGCTGCCTTCGGCATCCCAGCGCCGCGCTACCAGTGGTACAGAAATGGCCAACCGCTGCCAGACAAGATGAGCGACACGCTGCAGGTACGCGAGTGTTTACTTACCTTCCAGCTGATAAACAGCCCAAATCACGGATTTGGAAAATCCCTTCTTGCCTTGACAAGGAATACTTTAAGTACACTGGTTGGAGTCCTAACTGGGCACAATCTGCT